AATGTGACTGTAGAAGTACTATACCAGGGGTCAGCAAACTTTTTCAACAGGGGGCTGTCCCTCAGCCTTGTGGACGGCTGGACTATATGTTGGGTAAAAAAATGAACGAATTCCTATGCCCCACAAATAACCCAGAGATGCATTTTAAATAAAAGCACACATTCTACTCATGTAAAAACACGCTGATTCCCGGACTGTCCGTGGGCTGGATTTAGAAGGTGATTGGGCCGGATCCGGCCCCTGGGCCTTAGTTTGCCTACTCATGTACTATACAGTACAACCTACTGTATCACAATAAACATGAAATAGGTGTTGTACTAATGGGATTAAGAGTTGAGCTGGGTGATTTCAAGGTCCCTTCCATACCAGCTATTTCAATTGATGAGAGGCTGAAATCACTGCTCAAGGAAAATGACTTATAAAATGTTCAAGTCTTTGGTTAAGTAAATACACTGTAGTCTGCTGGGAATCCCTTTGTTATGTAAGCTTGGGGCAATATCTTACCATAAACTGAATAGCTGGAGGTGCATCCGGAGGGCCATGGTGGCAAAAGAGGGCATGTTTTTCTCCCCTCTTCTCTGGCTGGACGTGATGTAACCATGCTCTCTGTGACACCAAGTCAAAGACATAGAGAGAGCTTTAGTCTCTGGAAGCTAACAGCATTTGGGGGCCCTAGAAACCTGTTGGGGAAGCAATGAACTTTGGAAAATCTGTTGGAATCAAGCTGTATCTCTGCTTATGCTCAGCCTATACTACAAGTATATAAACCATATTATCACAAAACACCAAAGTCTCCAGTGGCTTAATTCCCAAAGAAGCTGAATATGGGTGCTGCCTGCGTGGTTGACCTTCTTACAATGCTGAGAAGAGGGTATAGAATATAGAGTGTGTGTGCAACAAGTTTTACAACGATTTACTCCACTAAATAAACTTCAGTGTGGACTTTCTCAAAGTAATCAGGGACATTATTTTATGACCATTTACAAGTTACATATAAGAATGAGTCACAAGCTCAGTGAGTTCACTCTTATCAGCAAGCTAGAAAAATATATATGCTCTTCTGATAAAAGAAGTTCCCAGTACAAATCTCAAGGTAATTTCTTTTTTATTTCATACAAAATAAGACAGTTGGATTCTTTTCAATCAGCACCCTAACAACCTTTCATTATTGTTTAGCTATCATGTTAAAAGGAGATGGCCAGGCTGACCTAAACAGCAAAGATATACCATGAAGCTTCATTTTCAGTCTAGCGCTTATTTTTTCCAGCAATGCAGAATGTCATTACTACAAAAATGAAGATTAAAGGCCCAACTGACGGTGGGGGTTGAACACCAAAGCAACTTGAGGTCAGAACTATATACAGTTGCCAGTTAATTGCAGTGCAGGGATGCAGCAGGGACTCACCGGATGGAGTGGAGGTTGATACATCAACTTCCTGGCCGGTGGGTCACTGTTGCTTACCAGAGCAAGAGGAGCAAAGCAGCAAGGAAGTCAGTACAGTGCAAACACACGGCAGGAGTCCCAGATTGGCTCTGCGAGTGCATTTGCAACACACTGACCTGCCTGCCACCCACCCCCCACTTCCTGAAAGCAACAGTGACACACCTCCTGGAAACCTTTCATGGTAGCTCTGCCCACCTGGTGAGCTGCTTCTGCATGGCCATTTTCAGAGAGGGTTACTTAGCCCTTCCACATCCATTGATTCTTTCCAGAATCCTCCCCTCAAGACTTTTCTCCCCAGCTGAGCTTATTTTACAGTGCCAAGGGGGGAACGACACTGCAGTAGGATCCCAGGAACCAGGCTGGGTCTGGTCTATTCTGATCTATTCCTCAAACCTGGTGACCAAGCAAGCAGGAACTTGAGCAGGAGCAATATCTAGCTGGCATGGAAACAGGACCCACAGCGGAAGCATATTGATGCTGGCGGGGCACCAAAGCCAAGCTGAGGGAGAAGCCAACAGCAGGAAATAGTCTAGAAACCAGAGCCAAGTAATCCTGACCAACACAGAAAAAGCTATTACAATATCTCCCACTCCTTACAGAAGAGGCCGAGGGATTTATGTCTCAACAACTTGGCCCTCCTTTGTCAGGTTACAATGTATGCCTGGTTCCTTTCTGGCTTTTCTCTTGAGTGGACCCCTGAGGGTGAAGCCTACTGGCAGCTGGGTCTGCGTTTTCCACTACCATCTCTGCTCCTGGTCCTCAAGGGTAATGGGAGAGTCTTGGGTCAAGGCAGGGGCTGAGGCAGTGTGTGAGAATGCTAGCAAAACTGAGTAGCTCTTCAAAATCCTGCACTGTGCAAGGGTTTTCCAGAGGGTTCCACATCTCCTCCTTCCTAGGGTCATTTCTAGTGCTCCATTTCTCCTGCAACCCACCCTCAACCTGAGCTCCATGTTTTGCAGGCAGCATATGGGCTTTAATACTGCCCCACCCATTTGCCATCTGGCCCAGAGCTCCTCTCCTGAGTTTCCTTTGCTTTCCCAATGGCTCATCTCCCAGGCTATTATTATTATTATTATTAATATACCGCCTATACCCAGAGGTCTCAGGGAGATTCAATTACCTCATCAGGAAACTGGCTGGGCTTATATTTTAACATTTGCTGGATCCAGGGGTTCAGGAGGCTTGATTAAATTCTAGCACTTACTGGACCCAGGAATTTAGGGGAGTCTGGCACCTGCAAACTCATAACAATATGATAGCTGCAGCTATTTAACAAATTAGGTTATTACTTGTCAGGGGTTCAGGGACAGAGGCACAGGTGAGGGAGGAGACGGAGAGCGAGGGGGAAGAATCCCAGGACAGCGAGGAAGAGGATGACAATGACTTGAGGGATTCCATGAGTCTTTCAAGTGAATCGGAGGATTCCCAGAAGGGGGCGCCTGTGGTAAGGCCAAGGGGAGTCACAGGGGGGACTCGTCAGGAGCAGGGGATCAGCAGGGGAACCCAAAGTGGGAGCTGGGAGTCGGGACCGGCTTCTCCGCCAGAGCGCAGTGAAGGGGGTGGAGATTCCAGTGTGACAGGGGAAGCAAATCCGAAAGCAGAGAGGGAGGGGAGATCGGAGCAAGACATCCTCCCGGAAGGGGAGGGGAGTAGTGCAGGGAGTAGTGTAACTGTCAAGAGGAAGGTTAGAGGTTGCGAACGCGCACCAAGTTCAAATGTGGAGGCGCGCGGAAGAACAGGGAGCCCGGAGGAGGAGCCAGGTCCCAAAGCACGCAGGAGGGGGGAAGAGCTGTCTGGGGATTCAGCGTCAGGGGAATCCAGGAGGGGCGAAACCCCAGGGGGCAGGAAGACCCTGCAGAAAAGGAAGGAAAGGAAGAGGTGGAGCAGCACAGCCCTCTTAAACTGGTGCAGAGGAGGGACTGACTCAGAGGGGACTTCAGCGGTCTAAGCGTAACAGACGTGGGGCTGCGCGCCTCGGCTGTGGAGCGTACAATAAAGGTAAAGGTAAAGGTACCCCTGCCCATACGGGCCAGTCTTGCCAGACTCTAGGGTTGTGCGCCCATCTCACTCAAGAGGCCAGGGGCCAGCGCTGTCCGGAGACACTTCCGGGTCACGTGGCCAGCGTGACATCGCTGCTCTGGTGAGCCAGAGCCACACACGGAAACGCCGTTTACCTTCCCGCTGGTAAGCGGTCCCTATTTATCTACTTGCACCCGGGGGTGCTTTCGAACTGCTAGGTTGGCAGGCGCTGGGACCGAACGACTGGAGCGCACCCTGCCGCAGGGATTCGAACTGCCGACCTTTCGATCGGCAAGTCCTAGGCTCTGAGGCTTTTACCCACAGCGCCACCTGCGTCCAATACACTGCAATAAACATCTTTGTATATAAACTGGACTTGGCGTTGGTCTCTTGTGAGCTGGGACCTGAGGCAGCCCTGACATTACTATTTAGTTGCTGTGTCATGTTTTGTTTTTATTGACGTTCATGCTGCAAAGGAACCGTGGCTTCAATTCTGACTCTACAGATTTGAGGACTTTCATCCACTCACATCACTGAAGGTTCAGCTCTCCTGAATATATTTACTGCTGTTGTTGGGCAACTGGTACATTCCATTCTCCTTGTCAAGTTCATAGGGGCGGACCCTGCATCACAAATGACAACAGTGAAGTTGGCACAAGTAGAACTGGAACGAGGCTAATTTATAATGAGTTTTATGGTGTGACTGTTGGTTGGGTGGTATCTTTTCACTCAGTGGCCTTGATGCCTTTGTGCATTCCTTCCTGTGTGCTTTCCAGGTAGCGTGTGCAATGATGGCCACAGGAACAAGATCCCACTTCCAACATTTTTAGGAGCAAGCTCTACTGGGAAATCATCAAGAGGCTGCAGGCTTTGAATTCAGCTGTGGGTGCCTCCAGACTGCCACTATTTTGCAGGAGTGTTTCAAGCAAGTACTGTACTGTGAATTTTGGTTTGTGTAATCAAAGGGGATTTAAGTGCTCAGTTGCATGGGCATAGCCGGGGAGGGGGGCAGGGGACAGCTTCCCCCTAAAATAAAATAAATAAATAAATAAAAATATTTAACTAACAGCTTGGTTCTACCCCTCCCCTTCAACATCAAGCCTGGCTACGGCCATGTTCGGTTGCCCTTGTGCAACAAATCCACTTTAGAAATGAAATGGACTTTGGGACACTTTGGAAAGTGATGTGGCAATGCATTGAAAAATATGGGATGAATGAATGAGCAAATGAAGAGAGCTGCTCATTGTTGTATAACCTCCCTGAAAACAAATCAAAACAAATGCTCAATAAAGACCGGGTATAGTATGACCTCTGTGTAAGCTCTGCATACAAAGATCAGGATGAATGCTCCATAAGTAGAGTTGTTTAGAGGAGCTCAGTGTCTTCCTATAGCTAAAATGTGACCAAACTGTTAGCAAATTACAACTGTGGAATGAATACTAGCAGGATTATATGCACCCTTTGCTGGTAATATGTGTTAAAAGTTTCCTGCACTTAAGGCACAGATAGGACACTAACAAATTGTTTGGTTTGGCCCAAGGAGTCTTCCACTTCTGTTCCAGTCACTGGCCATTAGCATCCTAGGCAGGAAAGGTTTGTGAGTTTATGCTGGCAGCAGAAGAGTACAGGAAGCATTTATTGTCAGTTCCTGAGCAGTGTTTTGATTATAAATTAATCTCTTGAGATATTACGGCAGTTGCAAATGGTTAATGAGTATCATAATACTACCTGCTTCTTTTCCTTGTCCAAAGGCCAGTTGGGTCCCTGAGCCTATAAAACTCTGACGGAGCGCTGGAGCAGACCTACCCAACACTTGAAACTGAGGCAATCTGCAAAGATGTCCAAGAACATCTTCTCATTTCTCCGCTTGCTTGTGCTCTTGCTGGGCTTTGCCTTCATCTGCCTAGGAGCCTATTGCTTCTCTACAAGTGCCTCTGCTTGCAAGTGCAATAGTTTGCCTATTGCCTACTTCCTATTACCCTTGGGTTTCTTTTTTCTCATCTCTGGGATTTTCTGGAGCACTTATCATGAAGCCAGTAAGCACAAGGGCTTATTCCACAGCCTTATGCATGGAAGTCCCAGACTTCAAGAGACTCAGATTAGTACCATAGACAGGTATGTTCCATGTATTGCATTCCAACGATTGGCCTTTGATTCCTTTCCACTTCTCATGAAATACTTTACAGCACTGCCTTCAGTTTGCTTTGTTAAACTTATCTGGTCCTTGACCTTCCTCTTTCCGTGTTATGTTCAATTATATCATTGAGTAGTTCACTGTTTCTTATTATGTAGCCCATCTTACATGATTGTGTCTTCATCATTTGCACTGGTTCTTGTCCCGACCCACCAATATTTCTTCTTTGGCTTCCCTTTCTATCTAACCCACCTTACACATGCTTTTCCAATGTCACATTTCAAATGTTTCCAGACTAGTTTCCATTCTTCTATTTTTCACATGTCATATATATGTTTCATATGTTTTTATATAAAAATTGTGTTTGAGAGGTAAGCTTACACCTCCTGCCATCAGGCATTTCTTCTTTAAAAATGTCAATTTTGCCATGTATGTTTTGCTTTTAGTTTTTAGCTTGTATCTACCTTCCTCTGTTATCTGGATTCCTGGTTACTTAATTCTTTTGCATTTACTCAAAACACACATACACACACTGCAACAAGTAGTTTTCTACTTGCCATTTAAAAATCTTTATTTTATTGTCATTTATTTTTAGGCTGCAAAACTGAATTCTTAAGTATGTTCTGCAGCTTTCCTTCTGTCTCTGCTATTACTGCCATATGCACCAAATTCATTTCCTTCTCATTACTTTGAACCCTGAGTCTGCTGGTGCAGTATTTTATTAATTGTATATCTACAAGTCTTTCCTTCCTATATCTTCCTATATAAGTGTATATAGATGGCAATATGAAGTGACTCCATGGGCTATAGTGTCTGGAATATTTGCCACCACATATAGTGCTCTGTTATGCAAAGGAGTGCTGGTATGTAGGAAGACCAAATCCTGTTCTCTGCACAGACCAAAATCACTGGATGGCTGTGGCTGGGTGGTCTAGCTAGCTAGAGATTGTTATGAGCATTAAAAAGACCCACATTGTGCTCCTTGGGGAAAGGGTAGCATGTGCTCACTTAGTCTCTCTAGATCAGGAACCTGCTGCACTGCATGGAGCTGAGCTCTTTGTTTTAGTGGTGTTCAACAAAGGCTAAAGTTGCTCACTTTTATCTGCTCAAGCTGCTTTTGAGATTTCTGGGTAAGAGTCTCTGCCATTCCTAGAGTGAAGACTGATGCACTTAATTAAGTTGGCCTCCAGCCTGGCAGAGTTTGTTAGTGGGTCATGGATACAAATGTCACTTCCTGTTCTGTTGTGGTAACGGGACCATAAACAATAGGCAAAGCAGAAGCTCTATAAAAAGGACGTGGCACATGCCATGGTCTAGATAACCATGAAGACTGAACACTTCAAAAGAGCTTGCACCCTGCACTGCAAAATAAATCACCCTGCAGAAATAAGCTTGGGCAGAATGTGCATTTTCTGTTCACAAAGAGGGGCAGAAGAAAGGGACATATCAACTGAGCAAATGTAAGGATCACCATTCCTTGGTCGAGCTTTATCACACTGTCATAAGAATATATTATTACTGGACACCCCAATCTTTGCAGTTCATGAGATTCCATGTGTATTGCCACTTAACCAGGGTTTTTGTTTCCTTCTTAAAATTAAGGCACATATTTACTGCCTAAAGTCGTCAACGGAGGGGGTGCAGAACATTACATTTCAAGCTTGAGTCCAGACCAGAGGCCAGCCTGGCTCTCTGGTCTCTCAGTGCAGCTTCTCCCAGTCAACATGCATGGAGTTCTCCCCACTGTCTGCTTCTTATTTCCAGAAATCATTAGACCTGTCACCTTGGGTTTCAAAAGCTGCCTGCAAAAGGCACATTTTCCTGTGCTGCCTGTAACCCTGGCAATCCCGGTTTCAAAGATTCAAGGATCTTCCCTTGAAAGGCCATCATCACTGTTGTTTCTTCAACAATCCAGCCCCAGAGAGCCATTTCCAGGCTGGCCTCAGGAGGAAGGGAGTTGGGTATATTCAGGAATTTATCAGTTTGCTCAGATTCTAACCCTTTATTGAATCTAGGGGTTTGGGAGGTGGTCCCCCCACAACTGCTAACATATCAGAGCTCTGAAGGCCTACAACACAAAACTTCCCACCCAATTCCTTCCTCCTCAGCCCCCACTCCTCTTCACTTACTTTAGATCCTTTTGGTGCCTGACTGAGGTTCTTGAAAATGGTGGTGAGGGGTCCTATCTGTCTAGATTTTGAGTAGAACAGAGAATGTGGTGAGCAGATATGGGCCGCAGGTGGTTGCAGACTATTCTTTTTATAAACAGTGAATAGAGACGGTCAGGATTTCAAGACAGAACCATTTTAAGCAGTGTGTGGTTTTTTGTCTCGGCTGTTTTTTGTGCAGGCCTGACTTCTACCCACCATCATACGAAGATAGCACTGATCCCGAAAAGCAGACTTTTGCACTGCCCATCTGCCCCCAGGAGCAAGTCAAGGACATGTACAACATACCTCCACCTCTTTACACAGAGAGCAGCCTGGAATTCCTGGAGGAAGCCAGCCCTCAGGAACAGCGGCCACCTACGTATGAAGTCTCCGTGCGGCAGGCTGCAGAACATAACTTGACCACGCGTGAAGAGCCTTGCTGCACATCCGTGTCACAGGCCAGCTGCTGAGGGAACAGCCTGCCAGAGGACGTGAGGCCGAGATAAGCCGTGCCTGCTATTTTGGGAGAGTGGCTGGGGTTAATGCACAGGATGCAAAGTGTAGTCGAAGTGAAGAGAGGCAAGCACTGTTCTATGCAATGGGGTGAAGACAGTAACTGCAGTAACTGACAGAAAGCCTGGGTAAAGTTGCTAAAGTTTTGAAGAATGTTGCTGAGTCCAGTCCAGTATTGCTGGCTAGCTGCAATAACTGGGTATGTTTGTTTACATTGTTGTAGCTTTATTCTGCCTATGCTAGGGTCAGGCCTTGCTGTCATTTCCTATCCTGTAAAGATCAACAACAGTAGCAGGAGGAAGTGCCCGTCAGAGGGAGGGGCCTTCTCAAAGGAATGACAAAAGAAACCCCCAGGCAAAGCACTGTTGAATGAGGCATGCACACACACACACACACACACACAGAGAGAGAGAGAGAGAGAGAGAGAGAGAGAGAGAGAGAGAGAGAGAGAAATAAGCTCTGCTGCTGCTTTGGGGAAAGGGCATTTGTATGAAGAAGTCAACCAGCAGTTTCCAATTATGCAATTTTCCTACACCTGTTTATCCAGTGCAACTGCCTCTCAGAAATGGGGGAGGCGGCAGAGGGGCTCCCTAAACAGAGTTGACAGCACATGGATTTAAATGGCCAGTTGGAGAATGAAGGCCATGGACATTTGCACTGTGAGAGAAATTGTATTCATGTACCCTAGGTCCATATGCAGTATTTTAAATCACATTTCTTTTTTTGCATCTCCTGTGGAGTTTTGACATCAACTTAATAGAAAATAATAATTGCTAACTTTGGAGGATGATCAATAATCCACAGTTAGCTTTTGTTATTTTACCATGATGTACTGTTACTGAGGTAACTGGTTTACATAATGTTTAATATTGCATTGCATTTTTGTTTTTCTTACAATAAATTTTGTACTTGAAAACTCTTCAAAGAAAAGTGGCATTTGTTTGTTGCAAACAATAATTTGCTCTGTCTCATGGACAGCCAAAAACCACGAGACAATGATTGAAAAAGTAGTCCAAAATATTTATTTCTGCACGGAAGTTTAAATTTACTATCCAAAGTACGTACACAGTTCCTCTTACACCATTTCCTTATAAGGGACTTAACCCTGTGATTGCTCTAAAGTTACTACAGTGGGAAGCATACCATTTTAGACAAAGGAGCTTCCTTGTGGTCTGCTAGAATTTTATTGCAGGATTAGATTTCATCTCCAGTTACCAACCACATTCCTTCTGAGCATGCTCAGTAAGTTGAAACCTTATATGGTACGATTATTTATAATTCTACTTCATGAGGAAAGGAAGTTTAGCAGAATAAAGAAATTCTGAAAAACCCCTTTAGTGGAATGTCTTCATAGGCATTCCTGCATCTTCTTTCATCTTACCACTATGCAAGAGTTCCAGCACTTCCAACCCTCTTCCAAAACTACATGCATCAAGGCAAAATGTCCAGGGAACCAATAGCTTGTCAATGTTTCAAAAAATTCCCAAACAGAATAATGCAGGTAGAATTCTTACTTTGGAGGCTTTCCCTTGAGTTCCAACATCATTATACAAGGTCCCTAGTTCAAGGAGTACAAATTAATAAATAGGTTTGTAAGACTGTAAAAAACTTGACAAAAATAGTCTATGGCTAGCAGCTGATAGACTGTGCAATAATAACCTTAAAAAACCCTGATGTACATGGAAATGCAAACCTAGGGCTCATCCAGGCTTCCTTTTGTGCCGCTTTTCTAGGCACAAGTCCGGCCTTTAAAGCTCTGTGTTGGAGTGTTGGTATATTTTGGTCCTGCCACTTTCCCTGGGAAAACCTACGTTTTACCGCTGAATTGGAACAAGCAGCAAACAGCGGTTCTGCTTATAAGAGCAAACCCGTGCCTGGAAGGCATGATGCAAAAGGAAGTTGGATGAGCCTGCAGGGTGTAATACAAAAGGTCCCTGGCTCAGTGGGACAGCAAATGGTTTGGATGCATGAGGCCCAAGTAGCCAGGCAGGAGCTCCGCATCTGTGTGCTCTTAGGTAAAGGTAAAGGTACCCCTGCCCGTACGGGCCAGTCTTGCCAGACTCTAGGGTTGTGCGCTCATCTCACTCTATAGGCCGGGAGCCAGCGCTGTCCGCAGACACTTCCGGGTCACGTGGCCAGTGTGACAAGCTGCATCTGGCGAGCCAGCGCAGCACACGGAACGCCGTTTACCTTCCCGCTGGTAAGCGGTCCCTATTTATCTACTTGCACCCGAAGGTGCTTTCAAACTGCTAGGTTGGCAGGCGCTGGGACCGAACGACGGGAGCGCACCCCGCCGCGGGGATTCGAACCGCCGACCTTTCGATCGGCAAGTCCTAGGCGCTGAGGCTTTAACCCACAGCGCCACCCGGGCCCGTGTGCTCTTAAGCACAGGGCTATTTTTTTAAAGTGCCCCTTTGCCACTTACTATGGGGCTTTAAGTTAGCAGTGTTTTCACAGACTCCGTGTAATAATGCTGGGCTAGAAGGACAACAATCTGCTTCAATAGAAGGCAGTTTGCCATGTTCCTAGATTCGTCTCATAAGTTCCTATAGCAGTGAGCAGTCAGGTTATCCTTGTGACAGCACTGTAAATTAAGAGTGAAAGCAACTTAGTAAACGCAATGCTCCAGAAATCCATGAGCAAATCCCCCAAACCTCTTACACCATATGAACATTTAAATTCATTCTCACACTAGGAAGCAGCTAAAATGTGATATTGAGCAGACCTGTTGTCCATTGCCCAGGCCTGGCGGGTCCAGTAGAAGCTATGGCTTTAGCAGTGAAGCTGCTCAGACTGGGAGCTTATATAGGAGCTGGAGGCTCTACTCCACCTTTCTTGTCTTTTAGCCAGGCCCTGATCCATGTGCTTCACTTTCCTCCTAAGCAACTAAGCTAGGCACGGTGATGGCTCTGAAGTTCCTGTCTGGCTCACTATCCCCTCTGCTCCTGCGGCACTTGGGAGATGGATGTGTGTGTCTGAGTCGATATATAGAGGGCCATTGTTACAGCACAGCAAATAAACAACTTGCTACAGAATGATGAGCTATGGATGTACAGGTACTATATAGACAGGAACCATAACACGTTTTTAGATTTACAAAAAAAGATGTTTAATAAGACTGCAATAAAACACTGTGCTTTTAGAAGTGAGAAAACAACCAGTGCTTCATTTACTTAGGCACAGCTAAAAAAAACCTGTGCTGCATTAGGCCAAGCTGTGTCTTATTATCAGCAATTTCATGCAAGGCAAAAATATGGCATTTCACTTTATTCAATGTCATAGTAAGTTTTGACAAATATCAGTATAAACCAAATCCCTTTCTGAAAGCACAAGATCACTCAGATTGCACTAAAAAGGAACATTTGGCAATTGCAATTAATGTTACTAGGCTATTAAAATATCACAAAGTCATCTCAACAAATGACAAGCAAAGAAAAGCATTCAAAGGAGTCACATGCACAAATAGTTCTTATCATTTCAGTGTCGTGTGCCATGGCTGGAGCCTTCATGTTCTTCCGTAGCCACAAGAACCATTTGGTGTATCCAAACATTCTTTCCTCTGTTGCATCTGTTCCATGATATGTCATGCTATGACCCTCTGATAAAGCATGTGGTCCGCTTTCAGACAGCTAAGTGAATTAGAGAAGTGCCTGAACTAAGTTCCAGAGAGTTCTTGCTGAAAAAGCCCTGCTTAGAACTATGCATCACTTCCTTCATTTCATTTTGTGCTGGCATTTAAGGGAATCACATAAGCATGAAACATGAGGATGTTGTACCAGGACTTCGCTAATGTATGTTATCTGCCCAGAATTGTTCTTCCCCTAATCTCAGAGGATTAACCCCACCATATTTCCAATATCTGAGGGCATATGACCCCTTTAAAAAGTTAGTTTTCGCAAGTTCAAAACAGTATGTTGGAAAAGTCTCTGAGTGTTCAGCTATTATGCACTTCTATAACCAGAGTACAGTGGTACCTCAGGTAACAAACACTTTGGGTTACAGACTCGGCTAACCCGGAAGTAGTACCTCGGGTTAAGAACTTTGCCTCAGCATGAGAATAGAAATCGTGCGCCACTGGTGTGGTGGTGGTGAGAGGCCCAATTAGCTAAAGTGGTACCTCAGGTTAAGAATGGTTTCTGGTTAAGAATGGACCTCCGGAACGAATTAAGTTTGTAACCAGAGGTACCACTGTAATGCCAATTTAGTCCCAGAACTCTGTTAAATCAGCATGTGATAACTGAACACTCCAGGCAGAGACAGTCTTTTGAATGTGCAGCATGGCTTTTTAAAGGGATCCCATGACTCTTCCAGCGTAGTAAAGTCAAACTCTGCCAATTACTCAAACGCAAAGAAGTGGAACACAAATTCATCTTGGGAGACAGTATCCGAATATTTTGAATCCAATTTATAATAGGTCATTTATTTAAAAGTGGGGGGGGGGGGAGCGTGCCAGCAGTCTTTTCAAAATGTGTAAAATCTAATGACAGACAAGGGTCTCTGCCAAGACAGCTGCAGTGGCTAAATACTAAAGAAGGAGGCCTCCTTCAGGATTGTTTAGTAACCGTAACATAGTTGGTATATCCTTTGAAAGAAGGGAGGTTGGGAAGGGGGCTGGGTGGGAAAGGGGAACTTTCATTCATCAAAGAGTTGGCTGGATGTCTATTTTCTTCCTTCACATTTTAAATTCAAAAGTCTCAATTGCACAAACTGTGCATGAGTATAGTAGATGCCAGGTTTCAAATAGTGTATAAAACAGTGCTTGTTATTCATGATAAATCAGGGAAATAAAGTACAGTGGTACCTCGGGTTACATACGCTTCAGGTTACATACGCTTCAGGTTACAGACTCCGCTAACCCAGAAATAATACCTCGGGTTAAGAACTTTGCTTCAGGATGAGAACAGAAATCGTGTGGTGGCGGCAGCAGCGGGAGGCCCCATTAGCTAAAGTGGTGCTTCAGGTTAAGAACAGTTTCAGGTTAAGAACAGACCTCCGGAATGAATTAAGTACATAACCAGAGGTACCACTGTATCTGCTTAAAGCTGCAATACTATGCATACTTACACAGCCCTAAGGATACATGCAGAGGGTTGGGCTACACATGCCAGTAAGGATTAGAACAGCCCATGTGCAGCTCCTGCATATATGGCATTGCTTTCACACATTCATTGACACACTGCTTTGTGTGGTGCATCTTGGGCACTGAAAGTCGCCTCTCAGCAGCTGAGTCTTCCAGTCAGCTGCAGTGACCGACAGCCTTGTTTCTAGTTCAAAATAGTGAACTGCCCCTTCCCAAACTGTGTTTGGAAAACAACTCCTTTTGCTTCTGAGCCTTTTCAAAGCATGACAGAACATTTCCATACTTACCATGAGTACTTTCTTTTTGAATTAAAGCTGAGGATTCTCAAAAGGCTAGATTGCAGAGTA